TGTGCTCTGTCTCTATCAAAAATAAATAAATCTAAAAAAAAAAAAAATTAAGAAATTAAAGGTTTATCCTGAGATGGCAGCCATTCAGTCCCATCTTCAGGCCCCACCTCGACTTCTGGTTCTTCTACTGTTTCCACCACATCTGCAGTGACTTCCTGCACTGGAGTCTTAAACCTTCAATTTGTAAAGACAAAAACAAAACGAAAACAAAAACCAAAAAAACAAAACCCCAAAAAAACCACAGTATCTGCGGAGCGTGATAAAACAAGGTATGCCTGTGCTCAATTAACCCTCGCAAATGTCCCAGGACATAGGTCCTATTATCCCCATTTTATAGATGAGAAGACTAAACTAGAGCAATTGGGTAACCCGTCGGAGGACAGGGAGGGCAGAACAGCAATTCGCACACGTCCCGAGCAATCTCCGGGAGGAAGGAAGGAGGTGCCGCCGGAGAGCTGACAAGCCCACCAGTCACGAGCTCTCACATCGGTGCGTACGGCCAGGACGAGGTGACAAATCAGAGGTCTGGGTCCCAGCTCTCAGCCGTAGTCACCTAACTGCTCCGGTGATGGTGACGAAGAAGAGAGAGGGTAAGACGCGGGGAGCTGCTCTGTGAATTCTAGAACCTACCACAAGGGCAGCAGCGCATCTGCGCGCAGCAGTCGCCGCACAGAGTCACGCTGGTTTGTCCTAGCGGACTCCGTGCGTCTTAAGGGTAGAGGAAAATGTCCTCCTCGTTTTTACATCCTCGGCATCTACCTAAAAAGTCATGGTTCCACACAGGAATTCAAATGTCTGCCGAGTAGCTGGCTAAATACATAAATAAAATTAAAAAGAAAAAAATACACTTTAAGGGCCAGTCAGAAAGCATCCAACATGGAAAGTTTGTTCACTTAGTAAGAAACCTTGAGATACGTGTCCGGTATTTCCCTTCATGAGACACTGCATTTTATCCCTCTCCTTCCCCCAAGATAAATCAAGTACTAGGAAACTAAAAATAAACTTAATAATACCAAAGAATGAGCAATTTCCTCTTTGGCCTTGTTTGCACGACTAGTTTAGGGAAAAAAGGAACCTTATTTCCTGCTCAGCTGTGCAGGCATCTGAGGACACTCGAGGCTGGAGGGAGAGAAAGGTGGAGGGGGCCCGATTTAGAAGAGCAGCGCACTTGCTAAGGACTGTGAACAAGGTGCTTTGAGGAAACCATGTCAAACTCGTGCGGATCTTCCTGTAAATAGGTTTATTTCCCAAATTCTTTTGTGGAGATGTAAGACATCTGTGTTTCTAAACAGGGAGAGCAAAAAACCCCACAGCCCTCACACGAACGCCTGCACCAGAGCGCAGCCGGAGCGGGGTGAGGGGCGCCACTGCTTCACGGCTGCGGTGTGGCCACAGGCAGGCGGCGAGGGCCCAAAGGAAATGGGGACGCAAATCAGGGAAGGGGGCTCAAAGTATCACTTAAGCATTTCTGCTCCAACAAGGCACCGGGGACAACGACCCCTCTTCTCCG